GCACACCTCTCAAACGCTGCGGGGCACAACAAGTAGCTCCACCGAAGGCCTCAGTGGCAAAACGGTGCATGCGGTCCCCTGACTATTTCGGCACAGCCCGCGCCATTCACACGTTTGGTGGCCCCGCAAAGCGAGCTTCTAAGACGGAGCGATGAGATGGCCAGGGAGGGATTTTCATCCACACCGCAGCACGCACAGCCCGCCACTCCGAAGGCTTCGCGCCGCCAGCGGCGGCAGTCTGGGCTTCGCACGAGGGCCCTGGATCCCAGGGCGCACGAGGCTTGAAATCAACGAGGGCCAACTCCAGAAAAAAAACACCCCCAGGCCCCGCAACCTCGGTTCACACTTAAAGATTGGGATTTGGGAGGGTGGGGCGCCTTAGCATATTCAGATGGGCCAGGAGGAGGACGAGGACGGTGGAGACACTTGAGCAGCGGGCAGGCAGGGCGTGCGTCGGCGAAGCCGTCACCTCTGAGTCTGGCTCGTCCAGGGCCGCCGTGGCCTGGGAACCGTGGGATCCGATGACCTTCATGGCGGCCTCACCGGCCGCACTCCACGAACTGGTCTTGGGCATGCCTCGGATAATAACTGTGATATCATGTTTGGCGTCTCGTTCCACCTGCTCGACTTCTAGCGGTAGTTTCGAATTGTTGTATTTTGCTGCTGTATTTTGCCATGCTGTTACTCCAGGTCCACCGGTCTCTCCTCTGAATTTCGCCTATGGGACGCCTCTGGTACATAATGTCGTGATTTGGTCCGCTATGCCTCAGCGCGTGCATGGGCCCAATCCAGTTCAGATCTTTGTCCGCCAAGATCTTTCGCCATGCGGCTCCTGCCTTCGCAGCCGTCGCGTTGAACGCGAGCTCGTCCTTCGGCAAGGTCCGCGCTCGCTCTGCAATCTTCGTGGCGACCCCGAGGTCGTCGATAGCTACGCCTTGCTCCTGGCCGGTCTTCACGCCCTCTCCTCTGTGGCGTCGTCCGAGCAGGATCGCAACTTTGATTGACCTCGGGCCTGCTGGATCTCGATGGCTCACATGCACGTCCTCCGCTCTCAGCTGAAGCCAGTCCTGCTCTCGAAGATAGCAATCGTAGGCTAGCAAGAATGCTAGCCTTTCGCCCACGTGCCCCCCCTTAACTGCTTCTCGAGATATGTGGTAGATTGCTTCCACTGAAGCCGGGCCACCTTCTCACGTCTCCTGGTGCATCTCCCAGCTGTGCAACGCTCACAAGGCAATCAGCATCTCCGACTTCGATTCTGGGTAGATGCACATCAGGCCGCGGCGCAGCATTGTGCCTTTGTTCAAGGGGGCCCTCTCCGCGAAGCACCTGTTGTCCAGCTCTGCGGCCACCGTGGTGCCCCGCTCGCCTGGGCTGGGGAATGGGAGACGCTTCCTGTGCACGTCGCGAAGGAAAGGCTCCACTTCCATGATGTGCTGCACGTTGGAGCTGTCGTGCGCGGCATGGGTCAGCGGTCTGAGAGGCGGCTCTAGCTTGTCGTCTCCGAAGGAGCTCGTGCTGACGGGCTTCTCGATGGCTGCAATCTCGAAGGCTCTGGGACCGTTCTTCTTCATCGGGATGTCGGGTCGACGGCGAGCACTGTCTTGCCTCCTCGCACTGGAAGCCTTCTTCTTGAGCGAACCTTCTCTTCGACCTGATGGCCCACGCTGCTCCCGCGACCGGGCTGGCCCAAGAGGATCTGCAGGTCCTCGTCCTCGCTCTCCATGTCCTTTCCGTGCCACTCGTCTGCTTCGGCGCCTCGCGGCCCCCGGCTAGCGGCACTGGCGACGAACGCATCGCAGCGCGTCGTCGTGAGGCGCATCGGACCCATGGATGCCAGGCCTGAGCGCGATCGGCGCGCGTGCTCATTATGTCGATTTGGTCGCCTAGAAGCCTCTCGAACGGGTGCTCGGCATCCAGGGCGACCCTCTTCGGCTCGGCCTTCGTCTTGGTGCTTTCGGCGCTGCCGACGCTCTCTCCTCTCGACGGGCCGTCCGCTGGGTTCATGTCCGTAGGTGTCCACCTCAATGTCAGCCCCGCGCCCGTCGCTAGGGCGACGGCGCCAATCTTCCTCAACTGCGTCATCGGCGGGCGAGACGAGCTCCGCATTTTCCTCGCCGCGCCGACCGTCACCATCGAGTCGCACAGAACCAGACATCGACGGAACCAGCACTTGGACGATCTGCACTTATGCCTCGCCACAGAGGTCACTGTCCGCATCCCCTGCACATTGATGCGGCCTTTCGCATGCCCGCACTCCTCTCCGTGATAGGTGCCATCTCGATATATCCGCCCAATGGTCCATGGCTGCTTTCGGCCTCTCCGGGGGGCTCCGAACTTCTCGGACTCTCCAGTCGCGGATGGCCAGCCCCTTCGCGTCGATCGCCTGCCGCGCCAGCTTCGCATATGCGCCGCAGAGACCTGGGGGGCGCGCCGCAGCGAGGCGCGTCCACAGCTGGCCTTCGGAGTTCCGTCCTCGCAGTTCACGATGTTGATAATCCCTCGAGCAGCGGCAGGCGAGCCCCTTCAGCGCTGCCGCGCGGGTGGGCAGGCGGGTCGGCTTCAGCCACTTGGCCCCGATGGCCCAGTGCACTATCTCCACCGCGAAGACGCACGCCTAATCCATCAACTTCATCCCCACGCCTGCTGCCAAACGCGCGACGCATGGAGATCTCCGCCTGCGCGAGAGCGCCCCCCTCTCGCACCCTCCGCACCTGCTGAGGCGATGGGCCAGGGGGCCCCCGAACCCAGCGGCCAGGGGCTCGGATGGTAAGCCGGCGCGCCCGAGAGAACGACGAGCAAGGAGGAGCCATGCGAACCAGGCAGAGCAGCCCGCCCAGGATGGCTTGGCATGCGACTTCGACGAAGGATGGGCCCATCAGGTCGCGCCGCGGGTGCTGCGCGCTGTCCACGAACAGGGCCTCGCACTGGCACTCGCTCCGCACTTCCTCGCCGAAGCCGCCGTGGCCCGAGAACGCGTCGGCCGCGCTGCGCTGGGGCGCCACCTCGCTCTCGCCAGTCACCTGATGGATACCTCGCTTTGAGCGCCCCATCGCGTCGCCGCTCAGCAGCTCCTCCTCCTCTTCGCCCCTCGCCATGTCGTGCAACTGCTGGACCCCCCACTGCCTGTGGACTTCCGCCATCGCTTCGTCCCGCGACGCTTCGGTCTCCACTGCTCCTGGGCCTGTCCTGCTCGCGTCCGCGGCGAACACCGTCTCGCTCCACTGAGCCCCCAGGTGCGCGCGCATCAAATGGGCTAGGTGGCACAGTATGTGGGGCTCGTTTAGGGCGCTTTCCCACAGCTCGTGCCGCCCTTGATCCCCGTCGCACTTCGCCACGAACTCGCAGCGCGAATCCAGCGGGCAGGAGGCGGAGCGGCAACGCATCTCTAACCATACCCAAGAGCCCACTATCCGCGACAGCTCCTGAGACGTGGCGCGCCCTCGAGCTAGCAGAGCCCCAGTCGCTCCGATCAAGTTCCGGACTATTTCCCTCGCGGCCGTCAGGCGGCAGGGCTTCTCGGCGATCGTCGCCAAGGGGGAGGGGCGCGGCGCCCCCCGCCCCGTCCTCGCGCATGCCCAGCCCGACCTCTGCGAGCCTCGGGCTGGCGACCTCCTTCACCGTGGCCACAATCGTGGACTCGCCCTCGATCGCCAGAGCCAAAAAAACAAAATCGCCCAAGATGAGGGCCCCCTCCGCGAAGCTGAGGGACACCAGGCCGCGCGCAATCTGGCCGCGACTCGGGGGGCCAGGCAGGTCGCAGATCATGTCTTCCAGCGCTCCGTGGCAGATCGCTGGAAACTAGCCGAAACCCATGGGCATCGCAATCAGGCGCAGATATCGGCATCCTCTCGGCACGGTCGGAATTGGTCGATCGACGCGCCCCCGAAAACTATGCGGGGCCAGAGTTCCGAACAAATCTTGCGCCCGCGGAGGAAACCGAACGCGCCCCCCGCGCATCGACTTCAAAGCCCTGCCCTGCGCCGCCTCGTCCGACGGGTCGAGCTCCGCCATCGCCATTGGCGACCCAGGGTTGATGCGGGGGGGGCCTTCGGAAGCGCTAGTTCACGCGCCCCAGGTCCCGCGCAGGCCTCAGCGCGAACTTCCCGTCGTCGCGCATTTTCCATCGCGAAGAACACGGCCACCTCCGACCTGCAGACGCCGGTGAATCCCGGCGCCCCAGACCCGCGCAGCCTCGCCGCGAAGTCCAGCCTCGCCGACTTGTGGCGTAAGCTCGGGTCGGTGTAGGCGCGCGCGTTCTCGACGTCCGCCTCGCCCGACTGACTCGGCGGCAGGGCCATCTCCCAGAAAAAAAAATCGAAGTAATACCTGGCCTTCAGCGAGACCAGCTTGACGTCGCATGGCCCCGCCCCCGCCGGTGGCAAAAACGCATCGCCGCTCGCGAAGGCCATGACATACCCTCGTTCCGGCACCCTGTCGTCGTTGTTCGATGCATCAATGCCCACGAAAGGCCCAGCCTTTGCGCGCAAGGCCAGCCGCTCGAAAGCAGACTCGGCGTCGGAGGCGCACGGCGTGCATCTTCAGGTCGCGGCCCTCTCGGTGGCACTGCAACGCTCTCTCGGAGATCCTCCGTGGCAGCTCGTGGCTCATCGCACACTCGTTCGCGCTGCCCCATGCGGCGTCTCGAAGTCGGTCGTGGCAGCCAGTCGTCAAAAACGTCGAGGACCTCGCAGCCGCGCTCGCCCTGCCTCTGATCGCCCCCCCCTGGGCCGCCCGAGATCTCGATCGCCCCGAAGCCGACGCCGTAGGCTCGGGGGGGCTGAAGAGCGGCAGCGCCTCCAGCGGGTCCCTGGCTCGACCGTCGGACGGGAACTCGCACTCCGCTCTCGTCGCGATGAGAAGCTAGAAGAAAATTACGCTGCTGCGCACGCAGGTGAGGTTAGCTGCTGTCAAGGCCGCGGCAGCAGCTTGGACGCGCCCGGCCTGGGCCTGGCGCCTGAACTTCAGCACCCCGTCGCCTGCTACTCGTCTGTCCTGGGGGCCGCATTCTTGCGGTCGCTCAGCTGGTCGAGGGGCTTCGCCAGCAAGGTGCGGCGGGCCGGCCTCTCCCGAAGATCCCTCGCCACCCCGTCGATGAACAAGCCATCCTGGTCGCTTTTGCTTGCGTCGAGTTCCTCCAGCGCAGTGTAATTCACTCTTGACTCCCAGCCCTGCTCGGCGCCATTTGGGGGCTTCCAGTCGCTCCTCCGCTTCGCGTTCTCGAGCGCCCGCCCGACCCCGCGCGCCCTCCGCGCGGCGAGCTCCGTCGTCTCCTACTTGATCCAGTCCGCGGGCACCTCGACCATGGACCTGTCGATCATCGCGCCGATGAGCAGCATCTCCACCGCCGCGCGGTCGCCGCCCAGCTGCCGGGGGCGAATCATCTCGCGCATGGCCGACGCGGCGGTCGACTCGTTCCTGCGCGGCCTTGCCGCCGTCGAAGGAGCGACCCCTGCCTTGACGCCGCCTGGGATCGTCCGGCTCGAACTCGGGGAGAACGCGTTTAGCTTCTCCTTGGCATGTCCTCGAACGAATCGCCTGGGCCTCGGACCGGGGCCCCCACCTCGGGATGCTGGACCGATGCCTCGGGCGCTGCCGTAGGTGATCCTGCTGTCGCTGCCAAGCTGTCGCTTTGCGCGATCTCTTTGTGGCGGTCCAAGCGGTCGAAGGGGCGGGGCATCATCTGGTCGCGCTGAGAGCCCTCGCCGGGCTCCACACTGCCAGTGAGAGACCCCAGTAGCTTGCTCGAAAACTCCACCGCTGTCGGCGCCGCCGGCGGCGAAGCCGCGCTCTTGGCCTCCAGCGCTGACAGCCTGTCCGTGATTGCGCTCAGCTGCCTGGTCATCTCGTGCTCCACGGACTCCTCCTCCTCGCCGTCAGACACCGCGACGCCTTCGTCGCGATGGGTAGAAGCCCCAGAGGAGCTTGGAACAGGGCTGCCAGACCAGGGGAGCATCCCCTGCCACGTTGACCCCGTCTCGGTCTCCTCGGTCCGATCCGGATGCCGCGAACGCCGTCCGCGGCAGCACGAGCCTGTCACGCCGATCACGAACATTATGCCCACGGACATGTACCGCGGCTCCAGTACCCCCGATTTGTGGATCCCCACTAGCTGCTCGCATTCCCCCCTGAAGCCATCCACCGTCTCCACCGTCTCCTTGGCGCTGTTGTACACCCACTTCGTCCACTCCACCGCGTTGAAGTAGGCGCAAGCACTCCACGACACGAAGGCCGATCCCGCGAAGCCTCCCAAGCTCCGTCGGGCCCAGACGTAGCCCACGACGTTGCTCGCTACCTTCGTCAGCCACGTCACGAGGTGACGACGATGGGTCTTCTTGCCCGTCAAGTTCTTCCGACTGAAGTCGCGGGTGATCGTAGCTGTCGTCGTCATGCTTCCCGATGTTCTCATTCGATCCGCCGCCTCCACCGCCATAGCCTTCTCGCGAGCTGACATGCCCCGGAAAACTCCGTGGTCCACGCCCGCGAACTTGGTGGACCGAACCATCGCCTTCACTGCCAGGTCGATGACCTGGAGCCTTCCCGTCGGGCCGATCGCCACCCAGCGGCACTCGCCTGACGTCGTCGTGAACCTCGTCACCAGCAACATGATGAGGCCCTTCTTGTCGTCGAACCTCGGTCGGTAGTACACTCTGCTCAATCGCTGCAGTGGCATCGGCGAGGAGACCTCCGTCTCCTGCTCGCTCGAGGGCTCCTCGCACTCCGCCTCTTTAGCGTCCTCGACGCTTTGCTCGTCCCAATATTAGGCTGAGAACTCCTGGGCAACGTAGTCCACCCAGTTCTCCAAGGCCTCCTCGCGCACCGGCGAGGTCCCCAGCACGCACGTGGCGAACCACGAGAGCTTTGTGGTTGGAGTGGCCGCCCGCTGGGGCGGCGCGCGGCATTCCCATGCGGAAGCTTTCATTTTTAGCATATGCGCCTCTTGAGCTATCACAGCGTCCACGACGGCTCAAGAGGCCCCGAAGAAGGCTCCAAAACGGCCCAAGAGAACACTAAGACGGGCCAAGAAACCCTCTAGACGGCCCCAAAGGGCCCTGGGGCGCCCTCAGCTGGGGGGCCCGAGGGGAATCCGAACGTACATTTCGAGCCTTCGGCTCCACGACGCCTCCAGATTGCTCTATGAAGCCCCCAAGAAGCCCCGAGAGGCCCCGAGGGAGCCCCGAGAGCCCCAGACGGCCGCACACGCTTCCCGGGAGTCTCCAGAGGCCCGACAACTGCTCCAAGACGCCGCCGAAGGCCCCCCGCGAGACCCCATCACCTATCCGAATGGCCTCAGACCCCAACCCCAATCACGGTGGCGGGAGGGGCCGAAGGCCATTCCATAGACATTCCTGTCTAGTATTTTGACAGATGTCCGCCGTCTGTGACCTTGGGTTTCCCCCCGGTTCCCCATGCGTGCACGGCGAACGCTAACCTTGTTAGCCGAAGAAAACAATGACCCCAAGAAGCATCCACCAGGACTATGACACTGCCCCCCCTAGTCCACCGATAACGTTCTCACGAGACCACAGCACGAAGTCCAGATCGTCACTTGTCCTTCTCCTCGTCTTGCTCCTCCCCCTCCTCCTCCTCCTCCTCCTTCCCCTCCTCCTCTTCCCCCTCCTCCCTCCACCCCCTCCCCCTCCTCCTCCTCCTGTTCTTCCTCCTCCTCCTCCTCCTCCTCCTCCTCCTCCTTCTCCCTCCTCCTGCTCATCCTTGTCCTCCCCCTCCTCCTTCTCAGCTATCTCCCTGTCATCGGCTTCGTCTTCCTTCTCGCTCGCTCCCTATCCTAGTCCTACTTCGGGGGTCTCCTAGGCGTGTGAGAGTGCTCTCCCCATCCCCCCCAGAAAGCCCCCCCCACCCCCCCCTCATGGGGGGATAAGAAAGCTCCCCGACGACCACCCAAGAGGGCCCCAAGACGCACCCAAGACGCTCCAAGAAGGCCCCGAGTCGCTGAAAGATCGCTCTAAGATGCCCAAGACAGCCTCCAGACGGCCCAATATGCCCTCATTACACACCAAGGATCCACCCTCTCGCTCTCATCAACATCACAATCACCCAGGACGCCCACCAAAATCATAGGAGACAATCTACACTTAGGAGGGTCAGTGTGGTGTAAGCCTGTAGATCATCTCTGGCTGGATGTTCACCCAAGAAAGCAAACCCGAGGAGAGAGCCAAGGACTTGAGGTGGGCCCATGCCCAAGAGGGCGGAACTCTCACGAAAAACCTACGGAGCGCGCTCCACCGCTTGCTGATCAGATCGTCAGGGGGCCTGGGGAGATAGGGGAATCAAGAGTCAATCCGACGACTGACTAGGGAGGGCCTGAAGTCAGGAAGCACGGAGATCCGACGCGACCAAGCGAACACTCGATGTTGGCCGCGGCGGCCGTCAACCGCGGCAATACGAGGCTCCGCATTGGCCGCCGTAGCGCTCTCTTGCCAATCACGGGGTGAGCGGTCGGAGGAAAGAGAGGCAACGTACTCTGCAGTGCTAACCCTGTTCTTCCACACGCATGGGAGTATATGCCGACGGCGCCCTTAAGAGGCCCATACATCCTAAGATATTGTTGTAGCTGTGTGAGTGCGGCCATCCGCCCGCCCCCCCCCGCCCCCAGAATATGGTGCGCTGTCCGCTCAGCTTCCGCAGCGGCGGTTGTGTGGAGCAGGGAAGGGGTGGCGGAGGGAAGCCGTGATCCGATGCCCAGAAGCTCAGGTAAAGAGACGAAGTTGAGAAGGAGACGCAGGTGGTGTGGAGGATGTGGCGCGCAGCAGAGAGAACAGCAGCGGGGAGAGGGAAGACTTAGGAAACATAGTGGCACACCGACAGTATCCCCAAGCCAGTCTCTGCGGGAGCCCTGGTAAGGGACGTTGCTTGGATCCTTGTCTTCCATTTTAGCGTCGCCGCCGTTCCACTGGCCATCCAGACCAACCTCGGGGCCGACCAAGGTTCCAAAAGAAAGGTCGCAACCGGCTATCTTGAACACGCCCCAGAGCGGGACCAAAATCTGGAGAAACTGGTACACTTGACGGGCACTGGCTTCCGTGAAACGCTGCCCAAATGGGACTAGCACGCACTTGGCAAGCTGAAGCTCGAGAATGGCGACCCCTTCAGCAGCGACAAAGGGCGGGACCAGGAGGAGGGTGAGGAGGAGGACCCGGACGAGAAGAGGAGCAAACCTGAGTGTGAGCACCCAAGAAGCCACACCTGGCCATGTATTTGAAATCGGCAGGTTTTCTCGCCAGGCGGAATGACCCCCTGGCATGGCCTAATATTGTTCAAACATGGCAGAAAAAGACACCAAGGTGGTCCCAAGGTAGCTTCCAACATGCCTCGGAGAACCCACGTACCGCCATCAGGAGGCTCTAAGGGGGCACGGAGCCTTTCCACGACACCTCTCAAGCTTTTGAGCAGCCGAAGGGGCTTGAATGGTTATGACATGCTCACCTTTTCGCACTCGGAGGGGGTTCTGAGGGGCCTCAAGACTCGCTGGGCTTCTGAGACCTCAAGAGAGAGAGAGAGAGAAAGCAAGTTTGGCTTGTCTTGGGGCCGTCTGGGGGCGTCGGAGTGCCCTCTGGGGATTGTGTGTGGCCGTCGTGTGCCGTATGGTGCCTCTTCGGGGGCCCTCTTGGTCGTGGCGGCATCTTGGACGCATCGTAGCCCTTCGTGGGCTATCTTGAGCCGTTTTGGCGCCGTCTTGGGGATTAAACGAATCACTGGTACCACCGGGGGCCAATGGCCCAGATATTGCCCACTGGAGGCCCAAGAGGGACCAAGAGAAGCTCTAAGAGGGCCTCAGGGGCGCACAAGCGCGCCCCACGAGCGCCCCAAGAGGACACCATGAGGCGACGCTTCGGGCTCCGACGGAGGCGGGCAAATTGACATTGGCGCCGCCCTTCTTATCCATCGATATCCTCCAAATCTATGAGTTGTTTGTCTGACAGTGCACGTGGGATCGGCTACCATCTTCCCTATGATTGGTTTTTCTACGCCACTGTACACTACACTCCAAGTGCGTTTTCCCAGCCGCCCTGCTCGGAGAGTTGCCACTGTGCACCTCTTCTCTGCCTACGCGTCCCTACAGATGCTTGGCTTCGCGCGTGCGCGCAAGCGTCCTCCAAGAGTGTGCCAAGAGGGCATCCCGAATTGCCCCGAAAGGGCCCCAAGATTGCCCAAGTGAACCTCCCAAACGCCCCCATCTCGAAAGATAAAGTATCCCAGTGCGACCCTACCTAGGAGTTGGAGCCCCTAGGAAAGCAGCATTAGTAGTAACGGTAAAGCTAAGCTAAAGCTAAGCTAAAGCTAAGCTAAAGCTAAGCTAAAGCTAAGCTAAAGCTAAACTAAAGCTAAGCTACAGCTAAGCTACAGCTAAGCTACAGCTAAGCTACAGCTAAGCTACAGCTAAGCTACAGCTAAGCTACAGCTAAGCTACAGCTAAGCTAACGCTAAGCTAAAGCTAAGCTAAAGCTAAGCTAAAGCTAAGCTAAAGCTAAGCTAACTCTAAAGCTAAAGCTAACCTATGCTATGCTATGCTATGCTGAGCTGAGCTAAGCTAAACTAAGCTAGGCGAGGCTAAGCTAAGCTAAACTACGCTAGGCTAGGCTAAGCTAAGCTAAACTACGCTAGGCTACGTTAAGCTAGGCTAAGCTAAGACGAGATAAGCAACGCTAAGCTAAAGGAACGTCACTGGGGGAACCGCGGGGCGGATGCCGGGGGAACCGCCCGGGGCGAGGAACACTGCCCGGCCCTTTAAGCTTATAAAGTAAGAACCCTTCTAGGCAGAGCCCAGGTAGGGAACAAACATATGGATGGTTGGCTCCTGGGCCTGCTCTGGCTCATGCGTGGGCGGCCGAGCGTGTTTTCTGGCGCGCAGCTCCCGCGGCGTCCAAAAGGCGGGCCGCCGGCCGCGCTGCGCCGCTGGCGCCCGCTTTCCTCTCACGAAGTGCGCACGGCCGCGGCTTCGCCGGTCCTATCTGCCGAGCGGCCCCATGAGCAGGGCGTCGAACGGGTCGGCGCTCGGCGGCTGTTGGGCCGGCGGGGGCGGCGGCGGCGGCGCCCCTCCTGGCGAGATCGGCCGCGACGAACAGGTCGAAACCCAACGCTTCAAGCTCTCACAACTACTGCGTGTGCTACACAATCTCCTACTGAGCCCAGCCGTGCTGCACCTTGCCGCCACGACGAAGAAACAGCAGCCAAAGTTGCGAAGAGGGGGAAGGATGGGGAGACGAGAGGAAGGAGGCCTGGCAGGAGGGGCGAGGAAGGGAGAGGAAGGGAGCGGTGAGAGAGAGAGAGAGACAGAGAGGAATACCCAAACAGGTGGGGATGGGCAGAGTGGGATCACGAGGAGTCTCGGAGGCCAATCGAGGCGCGGCCTTGCCGTCGGGGAGCTGCGACAGCGCCCGCGGCGCCGGCGAGGGGATCTCCAGGCGGCCAGCCCACCCCAACCGCGGCGCCAGCAAGGGGGTCCCGAGGCGGCCAGCCCGTCCCAGCGCCTTAGACATCCAACGCTTTCTTGCAGTGGTCGTCTTGGTTCGCCCTCACAATTGTCGTCGTCGTCGCTTCCGCAATCGTTTCGACAACGATCGTCGACTTCGCCGATCCCACCACTGCTGTCCTTGCCTCCATCGCCATCGCATCATCATCATCATCATCATCATCATCATCATCATCATCATCATCATCATCATCATCATCATCATCATCATCATCAGCATCAGCATCATCATCATCATCATCATC